AGATGTACCGTCCCTGGTAAGATAAGAAATTTTCGATTTTTTCAGATGTTTTTCAGACGCGGGCCCGTGCCAGAACCAAAAAACTTCAGAAAACAATTCAATCGCGGGGTTTGCGCTTACACTTGCCTCTGAGGTGCTTGGCTGTATTTCTTGTTGTTTTTTTCTGTGGGTTTTGTTTTTTGTTGGCTTTGTTTTTTTTCTGGTTTTTTCTGGTCTTCGTGGTGGCCGGATTTCCGCGGAGGTGAATTTTGTTTGGTTTATTTTTCGGATTTTTGATATTTTGTGGTTTCCCAAGCTTAACAGAGCATAGATTGTCTTAACCCTGGAAGCACTGGCCTCGGATGAAATCTCGAGGGTCGGGATGGAAGCCACCATGCCCCACAACTCCTGGCGAATATGCGATGCGCAGATCTTTTCTGAAATCCCATCTCAGGAACACTACATCCCCGCAAATCCCCTCAATGGCGCTGTGAACACAAGAAGCCCTGTGCCCTTGGCTCCTAAGCTCAGAATATCGTGTAAGTTCCAACTTCTGGAGTTTGGTGGGGACTAGAACGAGGCAATTTGGGATCACAGGAGCAAAAGGGGTGTGTCAAAGACAAGGCCATGGCAGGACCTCGCCCAGCGGCCATCCATGTAGAAAGGCCTGGGACGGCCGTTGTCTTTGCAAGCAAACACGATTTGGCGGCCTATGTACACATGGAGTACCTGTCACTGTCATTGAAACAGTATTGGGCAGGAAGCGTTCCTGAACTTCTTAGCAAGCAACGCAATGATTTGCAACAAGGTCCGAGCTCGCCAGAAACTAGCATCACGTGATTGAAGAAGTGGTTGAGAACGCAGATAATATCACCGCAGCTAACCTCCAAACGCCACAAAACACACCGCATGTGTTGTGCGCCGTTGAAGCTGCAGGCGCCTTCACGGGCATGGCGAACACAAACCAAAGCTAAGCAAAGCCAAGCCAATGTGCTGTAGAACCAGATTGCTGCGACAGCATCTGCAGCTGTAAGATCGAAGCTTGTGTTCATCTGAAGCAGCTGAGGCAAGGTGCAAAAACGTCTATTTTCCAAACGTGAATGCGGGGTACAATTTGGGCACAAGCCTCAGTTGGGCTCTTACAAGCATCGACATATCAGTACATTGCCAGCGTCTCCCCATTCCCCCCAGTTCCAGGACCGATTGGCTTTGCAGGCCTGGAAACTCTCGTCCAGAGGGAGGTCCACTAACCGGTAGTAGCCACAAACAGGCGGCCAGCCCACCCTCTGACGCAGCACTTTCTTTATCTTTGGCGTTCCGGCGTCCAACTTTTGGCTTTCGGCACACTGTTGGACAGACATGGTCCATTTTTGGACGCGCAGTCCCTTCTGTGGACATTTGATGGCCAACAGCTCATTGAAAGCATCGCCAAGCTCCTTTTCAAGTCCAAAATGCACAATTCCGCCAAATATCTTAGATCTCTGACAGGAGAACCAAACATGTCCCGAAACATCCCGAAACTCCACAAACTGAACAAGTTGACAAGGAAGGCAAGCAGGAAAGATACACAACTCAAAATGAACCCTAGCAAGACCAGTAAGGCCTATTCTTGCGGAATCTGCTGCTGCCAGTTGACCTAAACATCATGGTTCAAGTTCAAGTTCAGAATATTTCAGAATCACTTAGGATATGTAGCATCGCTTTGCTGTGACCTGCGCACCTCAAAGTCTTAAGTTCCTTCAATGCTTTGGGTTTAGCGTTCGCAGCAAATCCAGAACGTGACCAGAACATCAGGACTGTGCTGTAGGTTCGTTTTTTGAAAGAATAGCTCTTGGGATAACTGATTGATTCCGACATTCCTGCCTTCGGGGATGAAAGCTGCAGGCATGTCGCCCGCATCGGCAAGAAATCCATCACCTCAAGCGCGGCTCAAAAACTCACAACACCTGGGCCGTGCACGTGGATCCGGGATTCATCCAAGAACAAAAGAAAGAAATCTTCACACACGCGCACTAAGCAAAGGCAAGGACAGTGAAGTAGTCGCCGATCTGCTCAGCAAACCTATGCACTTGAGAAGTTTCCTGGATTTAGGCTGAGGGGCCAATCTTAAGCCCAGAGCTCCTTGCGGGCTGAACATCGCCTATAACCTATCAGGCAACACCAAGACCACGTTCTGAAAATACATGATCAAATACAAAGTTCCTCATTGATGGTCCTGATCTTGAGGACTCGTCTGGGGGACCTGCCTTACAAAAACACATGTCATGTCTACGGACGGTAGGAAGGAAAATACAGAGGACCCAACCAGGGCTACAAAGTTGCTTTCGGAGCTTCCGCTCCTCCCTCGAAAACCCCACTGCTACAGCATCGCAAGCTGCCAGCATCTTACAGACATGTTTTCAGCCGGGTTCATTGACATGACATACTGCGCAGACGTTAGCCCAAACCCTGGAGATCTTGCAATCGGGTGGCCCCTCCGGCAGCGCATCCAAGCTAGCGCTTGGCATTGCAGAGGCCTTCCACAAGCTCTATTCCGCTCTCCTAACCATGAAATGTGAATGTGGTTTGTGAATCTCTCCAAACATTTGTAGCCTTGCAATTCCTCGAGCCTATGGGGATACAATGGACTCCACAAGCAGAGAAAAACATCCTCAGGTCGATCCATCTGAGAGCCTTCGCAGATGGCGAGCTTTCTACAACCAGCTCCGAATCGCAGGGGTCCCATTCCGCCTGGATCCAGGCTGCAGCAGCACTTCAGCAACGTTCATTTCGCAGTTATTGGCGCAGGCAGACCAACAGCTGCACGCATCTACAACCCCCCTGGCTGTTGCCAAGACCTAATTCTTGACGGATGAAAATACATCCTCATGTGACATCAGCACCACGCATTGGGTTCCACCTGTGAGCAACACCCCCACATCCTCGACCACCATGACACCTGCCAAAACGGCACAATGGTTTGGGATTTGCGCTTTCAGGCTTCTCAACTTATCAACTCTAGGCCGAGGATGCTGGAGTGACACATTGCGTGGGGTGAGCGGCACGCTGGGAACCTAGCGTGGGGAACATGGGTAACGGTATGGTTCTTCTTGGGGGCGTCCTTCAAAACCGTGCTTGTGCCGCTAGGTGGAGCTTTGGGCTTTGATGTCGTCAATGCCCTGCCCCATGGGTCCCTACCCAATGCTGAACCAGACAGGCCTGGTCGCATGCTTGGGGCATGGCAAAACAAGCACGGTCGATCTCTAAAGAAACAAATGCACTAGGACTAGACGCATCAAAAGCATGCTTGTGTCTCATCAGATGTTGAAAGTATCAAGACGCAAACCTGCACTACAACAAGCAGGCATGACTTCCAGGAAGGCCGGAAGCACACCACAAGCCTTCACAACCCCGAAGCTTGTTGATATTCACGATCAATCCCTAAGGGTTTGCGGCGACAGCGAGCTTCAGTCAGGGTACGGAGCCCAAATGTCTGCAACCAAAACAAGGAGTTTCCCCCACATTTGCTGCATCAAGTCAAGATCAAATTAACCATGCCCGCTTTTTGCATTAAGAATTTGGCGAAGCGCTCGTCATGAATCCCCATGCATAAAGCCTGCTTTCTGAGGCCACGGCGCCTGCCTTCCTAAGCCTGCAGAATCCCCAACATGAAGGTCTTATACCCCCAAAAAATCGGGAATATGGGCTTATTGTTGAAAGTCACAGCCTTACACACTTTCGCAACTTTTGCAGCACCTGACACAACACGGCACTTTGTCTCCCAATCCCCGCACCGCTCGTCGATGGTTTGATCCTACAGTGGTTCATGGGTACATCTAGTGGGTGTCATAAAGTATAATAGGGTAACTATGAAGTTGTAACCCTATTTGGGGTCCTTATAACCCATTTTTCGCTACCTATAAACCTCTGAGTAGGGGAGCCGGCCGAGAGCCCCCCATCCCCCCCTACAATCCCACTTTTCACACTGAAACCTAATCATCCTAAACTGCATCAACAGACACGCATGTTGCTGTGTTTCTGACTTTCTGCTTGTCATGAGGAGCCGGGCTGAGTTCAGCACGAGCTCGCTCAAGTCTGTGTGGTGTCAGGAACCCTCTCTCACTTCATGTTGACGACAAAGCAGTATTTCTCACGCATCGGACCATTGCCAGTTCATGTTGCAGCCTTGTAGATTCTGCACATGTGGTCGGACAACTGGGAAACCAACTACAAGGTTGACCAAGTTCCTACAACGCACTTTTGTGACCCAACAAAACCGAAGCGATAGGAGGCTCAGCCCCAGATTGCCGCTCCTCTGTGTTCAAGTACAATGCCCACAAAGCAGTCTTGGCAGGATCAAAATTTACGGCCACGCACAGACCTCACCAAGGAGTTTTTTTGATCCGTTTTGGGGTTTCGGGGCAAAAGAGGGGGGGTTTTAAGGTTTAGGGTTTTTTTCAAAGCAACTGTACACGGAGCCCCACAGGGGCTTGAGCCAACTGTACAAGCGTCGTCGCCGTCGTGTCGCCGTCGTGTCGTCGTCGTCTATCCTAGTGGGCACGCTGAGCTGCAGCCCAGAGCCGAGGAACCTCGCTTGCGGGGGGAGGCTCTGGGTCGCGGCCCGGCGGTCCAGCGAGTGGAGGAGGTACCCGACGCTTAGGGTTCAGATGGGGCCATGCGTAACCCATCGCCTCCTGTGAAGCTCGCGCAGGCTGGGGAGCCTGGGAGCCGTCCAGGGAATGGGGCGGCTCCGAACACCCCAAACCCCACACACCTGGGTCCCCGCCCTGGGGAAATGCTGCCCGTTTTTTCGGGGAGCCATTTTCCTGGGATCCGGGGGTCTCTTGGGGAACAGAATGCTGCCCGTTTTTTTGCAAGGTCGGAATTCCGACCTTGGTCCCCGGCCACCCAAATGTTGCCACCCAAATGTTGCCACCCAAATGTTGCCACCCAAATGTTGCCACCCAAATGTTGCCACCTGCCTTGTTTTGCCAGGCCGCGCGTTCATCCGCCCAGACCGCCGACTCCCCGTATAGAAAATCATGTCTAGTTGGGCACAGCAACGAGAAGCCATCCGCCGAGCGGCCCAGGGCGGCGTCAGAGCGAGGACGAACGCCCAGGGCTCGCAGCGGCTCCCGCTCGCCAACAACCGCCTGCGCGAGGTCCTCCTGTCCCGCCCCAACGGCGAGCTCACCAGAGCGGGCCAGTTCTACTACGGCCTCCTGGGAGGCCGCCCCCCCTCCAGACAATTCGACGAGCAACAGCCCCTGATCCGCGAAGGCCCCACAGACTACATCCTCCTCCGCTCAGGCCTCAAGAAGCCCGTGCGCTCGCTGCAGCCCGACGGCAGCTACCGCCTCACCAAACTCGGGAAATCCTTCTTCCGCGACAAGTACACGGAGTGGCTGGCCCACGTCCCCGTCCGCATCACGGGCACCCGGCAGCGCGGCCGCAACGCCGGGCGGGCCTACATGCGCGAGGACTTCCTGCCCGTGACCGTGGTCAACGGCAGCCTCTCCCGCCAGTCCAGCGGCCTCAGCGACGCGCAGGCCCACGCCCGCGTGAAGGCAGCCGCGCTGGCGCAGCCGGGCAACCCGAACGAACGACGGCGACCCGATCATGGAGCTCAGTCAGGAGACGTACCGCTACGACGCCAACCGGGACTGGGCCTTCTCCAACCAGACCCTGCAGGCCATCGACAACCGGGCGCAGACGGAGGTCGCCCTCCGGCAGCCCATGGGCGCGCTCCAGGAAATCAGCTACCAGCTGTACAACGGCTCCGAGATTCTGCCCAGCGCCTTCGAAGCTAGAGGCGACCGCTCTGCGTGGCCCGGCAGCTGGCGGAGCTGCTGCAGCTCCCCCTGCCCGAGGTCCTGAGTGACTTCGACGCCATCTGCGACAAGGGCTGGGAGGAGCGGGGCACCACCGCGCTGGAGGTCCGGGAGTTCTGCGCCTAGCGCGGCGCTCCCATGTTCTTCGTCAGCTGCGGCGGCCAGCTCATCGACGCCCACCAGCCGCCCGTCAAGGAGAACAAGGCCGTGGCCTTCACCTGCTACCAGGGGCACGCCTACTTTTACAAGTCGGCCCGGGCGGTCTCGCTCCACGGCGCCGCCCTTCTCCGAGTGGCGGCCCTGGGCTGGCCGCATCGAGTCGGGCCACTTCTGGGCCGAGGACCTGCGAAAGGTCCGGGCCACGCTGCTCGCGCAGGGCCACCAGCCCAAGGTGACCATGCGCTCCCTGTGCGACTGGCGGGCCCTCCGCCTCCGCGTCAGGGACGCCCCCGACTGCGTCGTCACGCAGTACCCCGAATACGCCGAGATCCTTCGGGCCTGGATGCAGCAGCTAGGGCTGGAGTACCGAGGCCAGCGCCTGGCGGGCGCCGCCACCGAAGCCTTCCAGCACCTCCTCAAAGCGAGGCGCCTGGACGCGCGCGGGAGCCGGGACCACATCTTGGAGGAGCAGAACCACCTGTGCAAGCTCTGCTCCGCACCCATCGAGCTGGGCTTATGTGAGTTCGACCACGTGGTCCCTGTGCACAGGCCGTGGAGGGCCAGGAGCAAGTGCTGCAGGCCCTGTGCCTGGAGTGCCACCGCACCAAGACGCTGCTGGAGTCCTCCCGAACGGCTTGCCTGGAGAGCCGTGTCTGCCGCAGCGTGCACGAGGCCTACGTGCAGAGCCCGCGCCCGCCGCCGCTGGTCTGCAAGCTGGCGAAGCGCGACCCCGAGCGGGTCTGCTGGGGCGTGGACGTGTGCGCTGCCGCAAGAACGCCCTGGCCAACGCGACCTTCCCCCTGCCCGTCTTCAGCCCATTGGATTCTGTGGAGCACGCGCGGGAGGGGCACCTGGCGGATTTGACCTACGTGGACTTGCACTGCGACGACCGGCAAGCCCTGCTTCGGAAGCTCCCCTACCTGGGCCGGGGCTGGTACTCCAAGCCCGCGGCCGCATACCTGCTGGAAACAAACCAGGCGACCTGGAGCGATTTCAAGTGGTCCCTGGACGCCACAGCGCACGTGGAGCCCCGGTGCCTCGCCCAGGCCCTGGAGAAGATGGAGGACGCCTGGCCAGAGGGCGAGGAGCACATGGCCAAGCTCAGCGTCAATGCGCTCATAGGGCTCTGGGTCCGGAACCAGGACCTGGTCTACAGCATGCGCACCAGCAACCACGAGCTGGACGCCACTGGCTGCCAGTGGCGCCAGACCTTCACCGACGCCGCCGGCAAGGTGCACTGGGACCACATCTACGCCACGGAGCTCTTCAGCAACTACACGCTGCGGCCGCTCCACGACTACGTCATGGCCCAGGAGCACGTGGCCGTCGCGAAGATCCGCCGCCACCTCCAGCAGGTGCCCCCGCGCTACGTCGTCGCGCTTAAAACGGACTGCCTGGTCTTCCAGGACCTGCCCAAAAAGTTCCGCTCACGGCCCGGAAGCACCCCGACGGCACACCCGTGTACCGCTTCGAGGAGTGCAAGAGCCTGGAGGGCCAGTACCGGGAGCCGCGCATCGAGGCGCCCTACCTGGACTGGCCGCCGGGCTGGCAGCGCGTGGAGGACCCCCTCCTGCACTGCCTCAACGGCAAGAGCCTGCTCCTCTCCGGCATGCCCGGCACCGACAAGACGCACCTGGCGCGCCAGATCGTGGCGCAGCTCTGCGAGCTCGGGGAGGTGGTGAAGCTGGTCAGCAAGACTCACTGCTCCGTGCAGAACCTGGGCGCGGGAGCGCAGACGGCAGACCGCTTCGTTCGGAGGAGCATCCGCAACGGGAGCTGCGAGCTGGACCGATTGGTCATCGAGGAGATCACGCAGCTGGACTCCAGCCTCTGGGCCGACATCGCGGAGCTGTCCCTGAACCCTAAGGTGAAGTTCCTCCTCCTGGGCGACTTCCAACAGCTGCCGACAGTGCTGGACGCTTTGGGGGGTGCGCCGGTGACGAAGCCCCTCAAGAGGTCCCGGCTGCTCCACGACCTGGCGGGCGGGTTTTATCACGAGCTCACGGAGAACCACCGGAGCGACGGGGCCATCTTCGGCTTCCTTCAGTACTTGAGGGTGGACGAGGCGGAGGAGCCGCCGCTGCACGAGGCCCTGCAGCTGGCCCGGGAGCGCTTCCCGAGGCGGGGGCAGCCCGACACCTGCCTGGTGATCAGCCACGCGAACCGCATGCGGCTCAACGAGCAGCACAACCGGAGGATGGCGCCGGAAGGAGCGGTGACCCTGCGCTACGAGAACAGCCCGCAGACCATGCGAGTCTGGCCGGGCCTGCGCCTCGTGGGCGCGGGGGGAAAAGTGGCCAAGGGCTGCTTCGTCACTGTGTCAGAAGCGAGCCCGGAGAGCGTGAAGCTCGAGACGGGGGAGCGCTTCACGCACGCGGAGCTCCTGCGCCACACGCGGCTCTGCCACGCCATCACCTACGCCAGCTGCCAGGGCCTCACCCTGCCCGCACTTCGAGCTGCGCCACCTCGCGGGCCACGAGCGCTGAGCTGGAGGTCGGTGACCATCAAGATCCCCCAGCTCGGCGGCATGAGCCAGCACTGGCGCAGCTCCACCTTGAGCTTGCAGCTCCGGCCGGCCAGGTCGCCGGGGTCCGGCAGCGGCTGGCCGCTGGTGTCCCAGATGCGCACGCGGTCCCAGTTCAGCTTGAACTTGACGAAGCTGTTGCCCCGGGAGCTGGTCTTTCAGGCAGGACTGCATGCGGGCCTCCACTTCGTGGGGCACCAGGCCCTTGCCGAAGATCTTGGAGTCGCGGAAGGACTGCTGCGAGAGCAGCTCCACCACCTGCCGCTCGATCTCCTGGAGCTGCGCCACCGCGGTCTCCTCGGGCTCGAGGCAGACGGGCACGCGCTTGGCCTCGGGGTCGTTGAAGGCGGCGGGCTGCCAGATGATCTTCTGAACTTCGGCGGACTGCCACACTGGCGGGCCGCTGCCCTCGCCGCGCAGGGGCACACTCTTGCCGCCCTTGGCGTTGGTCAGAAGCTCTCCCAGCTGGATCGCCATGGTTGGCGCGGCTTGCTGCGCTGAGCTCATCGTTTTCTTCCCCCAAACAAATACAATGCCGCCCGCTGAACGCGCGGCGTCCCCGCTCTCCACCGCGGAATGCGTGGGGGTCAAGCTGGCCCTGCTGGCCTGCCTGCTGGTGCTGTGGGCATTTTCTTTCCCTTCATCAAATGAGGCTCCTGGAGCTGTTCAGCGGCACGGGGTCGGTCGGCCGTGCCTTCGAGGCCCGTGGCTGGCAGGTAACGAGTCTTGACAGCAACCCAAAAGCCAATCCAACCATCTGCTCCGACATCCTGCAGTGGGACTACAATCGAGCCCAGGCACTTCGACATGGTCTGGGCCTCGCCCTGCTGCACCGAGTTCAGCATCGCCCTCAAGAAGCGGCCCCGCAACCTGCCGGTCGGGGACGCACTGGAGCTCAAGACGCTCGAGATCATCGACTACCTCAAGCCCAAGTGGTGGGCTATCGAGAACCCCAGCACCGGGCGCCTCAAGACTCGCCCCTACATGCAGGGGCTGCACATGGACAGGGTCACGTACTGCAAGTACGGCTTCCGCTACAAGAAGCCCACGGCGGTGTGGCACAACCTGCCCTGGACCCCCTCCCAGGGCCCCTGCCGCAAGGGCGACCGCTGCGAGGCCTTCCAAGGCACCAGGCACCCCGAGGCTGCGCAGCGAGGGCCCACCACGAAGGGGCGGCAGGGCAGCAACTCGCGGGACCAGCTCTACTCCATCCCGCCGGCGCTGTGCGACGAGATCGCGAGCGCAACGCTTGGGGTAAATGGGGAAGGTGCGTCTCTTCAAGACGCCTGAGTACTCCGTCAAGCAGCCGCCTGACCCCGTGGTTTGCAAGCCCCCCGCCAATGGGATCCTGTGCGCCCCGTCGGCTTCCGGGAAGACGGTGCTTCTTGTCTCAATGATTTTGGAACAGTACAGGGGCTGCTTTGAGCGCATCTTTGTTTTCTCGCCCTCGGTAGGTCGACTCCGCCTGGCAGCCTGTCAAGGATTACATCCGCGACAAGCTGGGGGTCAACACCGACCGGGAGCAGTGCTGTCAATGTGATGTTCTACTGCGTCTTCCGGCTGCGGAATCTTTTTTTTCCCTCTGGCGCCTCTTTACTACATCAGTAGCACAGTAGGCCGGTCTTGTTGGGCTCGACGAAAAGGGCGAAACAGAGTCAGCGCACACAACCCGCCAGACACAACACGAAACCACCAAAGAACAGACACCGAAGAAACAAAGCGAGCAGTCGCGCTAAACTACTAGATACCCCACGGACTCAGTACTCGAGGTCGTCAATGAAGTCCCGGTGCACAAGGAAGCACAGAGCTTGTGGGGATTCGCAAAATGCGACGTTGCCAGATTCACAAAATCACCATCATGCAGCCACTGGTGCGACAGCGGTTAGTCAACCCGAGGTCATCAGACGAGGTTCGGATCGCTTAATCGTTGTCAAGGAAAGACAACCAACACTCAATGGCGAAAGGATGTTGCAAGCCAGACTCCCAAGGGGGGATGAAAGATGCGCATATGCCCCATGGTGGTCAGCCAGTGGGGACTTAACAGCAAGAACAATCCAGGCCAGACCGGCCCAGGGCACTCCATGGTGGTCAGCCAGTGGAGTAGCTCCGAGCACAGGGTTCACCAGTCAACCTGGCGCACAAGTGCCCACCCTCAAACCAGCTCTTCCCTGGAGTCCTCATGTTTTGGAAGAAAGATGCCCTATCTTCCTGCAGGGCCACCCCGAAATGGCGCAGTCGACCCAATACCCCAACTGGGCCGCTTGCTCTTCTTGCTGCCGCTGCGCATGCTTGGCTGGCCCAGGTGGATCTGCCGTGGCCTCTCTTTGCTGCAGACATAAAGGTCACGCCGCTGGGCCTCAGTCAATACTGGGATGATGGACTTGCAATGCGTGTGCAACAAGCCCTGGCAGCCTTTGCCTTTCCTGCCTACCAGTACCCGCCCCCAAAGCCTCACCTAACCCCCTCAGGGGAATGTCGGTCGCTCTTCATTAGCGGGATGCATGGGAAGGCCGAGAATACGCCCTCCACTGTGTCGGGTAGCATCATTCACACAGCCAATTCCTATGCACTCACTGGCTTAGAAATGGAAACAGTCCGGGACAACCAGGGCAAAAAAGTCCGATATGAGGACACACAACGCCCGTTGTTGCTTTCGACCAGCGGTAATGCCGCACATGCACTGCTGCTCCTGTCCCAAGCCGCCCAGCTGTGGGCACGTGCTCTGTACCCTCAGGTCGAAGGATGCGGTCTGCCAGCGGCGGTTCGTGCTAGAATCAGCTCGGTAGAAGCCTCCCTGACAATGTGCCCGGCCAGCATCTGGAACCACCAAAAGCCAAGCCTCGAGGGCCTAGCGAGCCCAGCGGCACCCGCGACCCCAGCGCCCCAGCCTGTGCACCCATCATGCAGAGCAACACAGGCTCTGTCTGTGATCTCATGTGGCGAGCACTTGCAGCGGGACATCACTTTGGTAAGAATGTCAAACCTCGGCCCTACATGAGCCTGCGTGACTCGCAACACCTCACAACACACTGCCCTAGCTCACTTGCACATGCCACATACTGCTGCGCTGACCGCTCTGCATGTGGGCCTCGCCGCGGGGAGAGCTGGCGAGTGCAAACTGTGCGTTACGGGTTTCTCTGCTGGGTCGTATACGGGCGCTGCTGTGGCTATCGCTTGGCATGAGCGCCAAAAGCTTCCTGACTGCAAGGGCGATTTTGTCCACATCAAGGCACGTTTGGGCGGCATTGCCATGCCACGGGCCATGCTGCAATATATCCTGGGTTCGGAATTGCGGCACGCTGTCAGTCTTGTCCATCATGAGAGCGACCAGCTTTGTATCTTCCGGCCCAGCCAGGCAGCAAGGATGCAAGCGATTGGCGCGGGAGCGCGTCTCTACTACTTCACTGGACCTGAGTCGCTTGGCAGTGGTGGACACTCTTATGGTCACTTTGTCCAAAGTGAAGAGCTATTCCAGCTCACGCCGGGGGACCCCAGACCGACTCGGGCAGAGTAGGCAGCCGTACCACACTCCCCCACTGCGGCAAGATGTTTTTGCCTTTGGCACCATATCCATGCACAAAAGGAGGGGGTATAACCTCGGCGTATCGGTTCGCCATGAATAAGTCAGGACCAGGTAGGATTGCCAAACGGGAGTGCAAGCCGCCGTAGCCCCTGAGCAAGGGAAGAAATCCCTGTTCATACGGGCCTTGTCCCCATGTTTTGACCCCTCTGACCTGCCTGACTGGGGAGGCGCCAAACTGGATGTCTGGCTCTGGCCGGCCAGTATTAAGGTCGGCCGCTTTCCACGCAACTTCATGTATGTATCTTCCTAAAAGTGCCCACGCAAACACAAAGTCAGAATGCTTGTGAGCAGTGGTTCCGGCAAGAGGGGTGTTGCGTAGACATTGCCGATAATGGGTCTGGTCCAACGGCACCTGCTCATGCATACCAGGCAATGGAGTGGGCACTTCACTGGGCATGATGACTAGCTGCAGGGCTCGGCTCAACGCAGTACCAATGGAGGTCACCGCACTAGCGACGTTGCTAGGGATGCAAAAGCGAGGGGGCCGGGGAGTTTTGCCGTCCGGAGCATTCGGGTAGAAGATGACCAATCCCCCATTTGCTTCAAGCTGGTCCTCGGACGCACAAACCATGCCAATTGAGTTTGGCGATCGGGCCCCACACGGTATGGACCCGTCCGGCGAGCAACTCCACGGCGAGGCTGGAAGCGAGCCACAGGGCTGTGTCTCGTCCGTCTCGACTTCCATGCTGCCCAGTGACTCCGTCGAGAGGGTATTGGGCAGTAGATCGAGGACTGCAAACCTTCGCAGCTCTTCTGCTTCCCACCTGGCAGTGAACAAGGTGTCATGGTCAAGCAACATCAAGACCACCCCTGGCGCAAGGACTCTGAGGACTGCCAGAATTTCGGGCCCCGCCCACGTAAAGTGCACAGAAGCTAACCCCGCTTCCTTGGTGTTTACCAAGATGGGAAACCACCTCTCTTTAAACGGGCCTTCCCACTGCATGCGTGCTACCAAATGCCGGACAAAGTAGGGGAAATGCGGAATAGACAAGAAGCAGCGACTGTCTGTGACTAAGAGCAGGACATGGGCTCCTGCGGACTCAGCAGCCCGGAGCTGTGGAAGTAGGCAGCCGAGTAGTGCAGTGTAGTCGATCTCTGGGTGGAGACCTGCCGGCTCAGGCGGTTCGCCGGAAATGGCTCCAGAGGCCAGTCTCAATGGCAGGACGCCGCTAGGGGTGGGCTCAGGGAAATTCTGATTACTTTCTAGTGCCTGCGCGAGATCCTCAGGCTCCGGAGGCCCCGGCGCATGGTCAGCACTGAGAGTGCGAAGCTGGCATATAGCCTGCATTGCGGTCGCCGCAAGGACCTGTGGACCTGGGTAGCTAGGGACCTGCCACGGTGGCAGGTCGGCTGCAACTGGCGCGGGAGGTGGCCTCCCATGTGGGAGTCGCGGCTCAATCCTACTGACCGCACCCACTGGGTATTCGCCAACACGTGGAGGAATCGGCGGTATGGGAGGGCGAGGACTATTGTCCGGCCAGCAGACCCTAGGTGGATTAGGTGGTGGAGTTTGCCCGGGCCCGGGAGACAGGGCTGTCTCCCTACCCACTCCTTGTTCGGTGACAACACTCGCCCAAGGGGGAAGGTCTATCGCGTCACCAGGCAAAGCACTTTCCGCCGGAAATACAACCTTTGTTGTGTCTGGACCACTCTGCCTTTTTGAGAAACAGCAACGCCGTCTGCTTCGCCCGGCAACCCACGGTTCGCTGTTTTCTCCTGCATGCATGGAGGCCAGGCATCGGCACCATGCCGCATAGCAGTGCCCTCATGGGGCGAGCGGTGTCCACGCACAGTATCGGCACCAACCGGCAACATCGAGTTCGTGAGGCAGGATGACGCCGGCTTGCATCTGCCTGGTCATTGCGACATCACTGGTCCCTAAAGTGGCAAGTGCAGTGAGTTGCCCTCTCCTGGCAAC